ATCTGCTGTCTATCTCCCGTGTGTGTCGTGACAGAATCACTGCAGTTACAGATTTCGAACAGAGAGATGGCGACAAAGAGGAAAAGATACGGACTGCAGCTTTAAATTAGTGCTGTCAAATTGATTAATCACATCTAACGTTTTTGTTTACATAGAGTGTGTGTGTCTTAAATATATATATATATCTGTGTGTGTAAGATTTAACAGCACCTATTTAAATGCATTTAAATCCATTTTAATTTATACAAATATTTTAAAAATACACATATATTTAAATATATTACAAAAATATAAAAAATACACCTATGTGGCCTATATAAAAGTAATTTAATTAACATACATTTGATTTAAACATAAACAGTACATGCAGTGAAAAAGAAACAAATGGAGGACATTAATGGCATGATGACGTTAATGCTTAATATTCACAAAATTATAATAATGTAGCTTTAGATGACTGTATATGTGCATTTAAACATATGCGAGGATGTTAAAGCGTCCAGCGCACATATTCTGAGAGAGCGAGTATTGCACATAAGAATTGTAAGCAGTTGATAAAAAGACCAGTCCTTGTTGAAGAACAGCATCTCTATGCTCTGTTGTATTGCTGTAATCTCTCCGTGTGCTGAGGCATATATAGAGTTCATCATATGCCAGCATGCGGGCACAGGGTGTGTTGTGTTTATGTTGCCCGGCGACACACACCGCATCAGGAAGTTTGGCTGAAGTAACTGCGCTCCGTTTCCTTTACTTAGTGTATTTTTGAAACACTTTCACGTGTCTGAGTGATCCAGTGCCTCGCATTCCCTCGAGTTTGAGTTGAGCAGAGTTTACCTCTGTAGTTTTGTCTGCATCTTGACCTCCTAAATGCTTTTCTGCCCAGCGTGTGTGTGTGTGTGTGTGTTGTGACCTTTGCTAGGAAGGAAATTTAAAGACTCCCATGTGTGTGTGTGTGTTGGCTAGACTGCACTCATGGCCCATATGCTGTCCGATCTCTCTAGTAATCTGAGTTAATGGCAGTTATGACCACACTTATGCATTCAGATTATATTATTGGACTTTATTCCCATAGTACTTACATGTTTAAGTGTGTGAGGACTCAGCAGCTGTGGGATATTTTACCATAATGATTTTCCATATTAAAATCATAAAATTTTGTTTGCATTTGAAAATTCACTTTATTTTACAGTGTCCTTGTTACATGTAGTTACTGTAGTAATAACTATAAATTATGCGTTATTACATGCAATTAACCATAAACAAACCCCTATTTCTAACCAGTAAATGTAGTTAATATTACTCAGTACTTAAATGGATAATTACACTGTAACACGGACACCTTAAAACAGTGCAACCGAATATTCTCTGATGTCAGATAGACGAGATAGTTATTTATTTCTGTGCAAAAACTGTTATGTCATGTTATGATATCAAAACAGTTTATGCGCTATCTAAATGCTGAATAATTTGTTTTTTATTATTGTTTTTTATTCATCTTTCTCTTTATGTTTTGTGGATCACATTAAGACAGTCATGTGTCTATTGCCAGATTTACCATACGCATTATAGTTTAATAAATAAATAAAAACTCCTATAGCAACTGTTCTAACTTCTAATTTCTAATTTTGAAATTTCCTGTTAATTGTGCAAGAAAGAGTGTGTGAAACTAATGAACTTGTACATCTCACGCCTTTGACAACATCTTCTGCATGACTAAACCAACTCACCGCAAAAGCAAATACAATCATCCTGTGTCCTGACATGCAAGCAGACTTTACAACAAGACATCATGTACGTTCAGAGAATGTCCCAGTAATTCCTGGGCAAAAGCCAGGAAGAACTGGATTGTGACGTGTATTGCTAGTTCTTGTAGTTCTCGCTAGGAGGGTTTTGATGTGGTGTTTAACAGTTAGGTTAACTACAGTAAAAAGGACAGCTGTGCTCATTACAGTGTTAAATCTCCATTGGCCTAAGTTTCAAAATCTAATCTAGAATTCAAAATCCTATTATTATGATGTAATTGCATATTATGGTCAGTACTTGCATGCACTCCTAAAAATAAAGGTTGCAAAAGAAGGTTTTCACAGCGAGGGCATAGAAAACCCATTCAGTGAACAGTGAAATGTTTTTTTATTCTTATTATTTTGATGAACATTCCAAAAATATAAAGAGCCTTTTTGCACTATAAAGAAACTTTTGTGGAATGGAAAGTCAATATTTGTATTCCTTAAAACTCATGACAAATGTTTTTTCCTTTAATCATGCATTAGAATAGCTTGAATGTAACTCTACACCCTTGCTTCATTTAGTATATGCGGAGGTGCAAATATGCAAATTAGCCCCGCCTCCACTCACTCACACCAGCTCAGATTACCCGATCCACTCGCTCAACTGTAGTGAATGCTATACAATGGCAAATGGAAATATTGGTTTAATTCAGTCATATTTGTTTGAACCAGAAACTATGGAAGCTTGTTCCCACCACTGAATAAAAAATGAAGAAGGTATTTGCGACTTTTTATCTCACAATTCTGACTCTTTTGCTCGCAATTGCGAATTACGCGATATAAAGTCGTAATTGCATGTTATACGGTCAGAATTGCGAGATATCAAGTCATAATTGCATGTTATAAGCTCAGAATTGCAAGATAAAGTCGCAATTGTGAGTTATTAAGTCAGAATTGCTAATGTTACACATACCATGTTCCCGTTCGCCAACAGTCAGACAGTTGCCTTCTAAAAATCAGCATCATTAGAAACGCTTTGAAAGTCAGTGGAAAAAGGTATATTGTCCATCGGCACCAAATGAAACGGTTTGACTCGATGGTGGAAAAGTGGCTATTGATGCCAATAAAGAGCCTTTATTTTAAAGGGTAACTAAACCCCTGGTCAGAGCCTGACTCCACCCACTGGCAATATTTGAAAAATGCTGGAAAAGTGGGCAGAGGCCAGCGGAGGGGGGGCGTGCACCTGAGACGGGTCTCTCTGTAGGCAAGGGCGTGGTTAGCTGGTGCCTGCTTACATCACAGGGCACCACAACTTCCAATAGGAAAATTCAACCGCAGTAGCCACCGTTCAACCTGAAGAGGGCAGCACTCAGACGTTTTTACACCATTTATTATGGAATTAAAACACTTTATTAGCCTGGGTTTCCCCATACTGCCTTTGCGCAGTGCAATTTTATTCACGCTGCTAGGCAGTCTGGATACCACGGACCAAATTTTCGCCTCATCGAGGGGACCAATCACAGAACGGGGAGGGAGCAGCAAGACGATGATGACGTCTATGCGACACACCAAAGCAGTTTGTT